AAAGTAGTCATCGGAATGATGGCACGGTGCTACACAAATTAGATATGAGAAAATAGTCACTAAAAAGATACACGGTAACCCAACTTTTGCTAACATAATCATTGGCCAGACGGGCAACATATATGGGCAATAGCCACCCGTCGGCAGCGGAAGCTCTTTGATTTTCTACCAAGATCGTAGAGGCTCTGATACCATGTGAGAAATATAGGAGAAAAATATTATTGAAATTGTTGTTCTAATTATTACATAGAGAACCCTATTTATAGACACTATATAATACAATTCCTTACCAAATAGGAGACTATAAACTATTCATATTTTGTGTAGGATTGTGTTTACCTATTCTATTCTAACAATGGTCACATACTTCAACATATGTGGAGTATATTAGGGAGATCAAGGACATGTACGATGGAGCTACGACCTCAGAGCACCTCCCATTTTTTATGAGGTTGCACCAGTGATAAGCCTGTTTATATTTGCATTGGTGATGGAGGCATTGACGCAACAAATTCAAGGTAAGGTGTCATGGTGTATGTTATTTGCAGATAACATAGTTCTGATTGACGAGACTCACGACGAAGCTAATGCTAAGCTGGAGATTTGGAGATAGACCCTAGAGTCAAAAGGGTTCAGATTGAGCATGATCAAGACAAATTACTTGGAGTGCAAGTTCAATGATGTAATGTATGACACAGACATGGAAGTGAGGCTCGACACTCGGGTCATCCAAAAGAGAGAAAGTTTCAAGTGTCTAAGTCTATCATCCAAAAAAATGAAGAGATCAACAAGAATGTCATTCACTGCATTAGTGCAGGGTGAATGAAATGGAGGCTTACAAATGGAGTTGTGTGATAAAAAGGTGACACCAAAACTTAAAGACAAGTTCTACAGAGTGGTAGTTAGACCAACTATATTGTATGGGGCGGAGTGTTGGCAGTCAAGAACTCTCACGTTCAAAAGTTGAAAGTTGCAGAAATGGGGATGCTACAATGGATGTGTGGGCAAACTAGGAGAGATAGGATTAAAAATGAGGATATCTGGGACAAGGTGGGAGTGGTTTCGGTGAAGGACAAAATACGCTAATCAAGATTGATATCGTTTGGACATGTGAAGAGGAGATGTCTAAATGCCCCAGTGCAAAGGTATGAGAGGTTGGCTATGGATGGTTTCAAGAGAGGTAGAGGTAGACCGGAGAAGTATTGATGAGAAGTGATTAGACAGGAAATTGAATGACGGGCTAGGATCATTTCGCATATAATGATGCTCAAAGGCTGAAATGAAGCCAGTAGGGTAAAAGTAATAGAAACGGCAGAGGCATCCAAAATTCTGGAAAACTTACAAACTTTTCTCCTCTCTTTCCTCGACTCTCTTCTCTCTCTTTCTCTTCCTCCCTCTCTGATTCTTCTTCTCACTATAATCCTTTCTTCAACTTCTTTCTGCAGATCTGAGCTATCTATGGAGTTCCAACTTTCCATTTCTATGTCATTATAGTTTAGCTTAGCTCTAATCTCAATTTCAGATATATATGACAGAATTATCCCAGAAACATTTGCAATTTATTGTTTGTTTTCCTTGTTTAATTCTGCTATTTAAGTTCACAACATACCATCACCACTAATAGACTCACTAAAGATAGTGCCTTGAAGATGAGAATTAACATGGGTTAAGTAAACAAATTTATAGAACAATTCTGAAACTAGATGCAATAACCTTGGTTAACCTAAGTTTACGTAAGGTTATTCAAAAGTTTGCTTGTGAAATTTTCAAGATGTATAGCAATAATTCAAAAGAGAAGTTTGTGTAAAATACAAGAAATGTTATTCATGTAAAACTTTTATTTTCATCAAAACACGAAGAAGAAAAGAGAAAGAAAAAGGGAAAACAAGTTTTTACCACATACATTTGAACTTACAAGAGCTTTAGAAACAATATTACCCAAAATAGAAATGGAAACATACACATGTCTACAAAATGAATTAACACAAGAGTTACACCTAATGACACAGTAATATTTCATTTTTCATTACTCAAAATTCAAATGGACAAAATAAAGCACATATTAAACTGAAATAGACTAAAAATTCATTCTATGTACCTCCACTTCTGTTGATGCATATGAAGGATCAAGATTCTCAAGTAACACAAGTGTACCTCGCTCTTGAGCTTCTTGGAGTCTATCATTCCATGGCTGGGCAGAACAAAATAATATTTGTAAATCACAAAATATAGAGTAAATAACTGCTTCGAGGCTACAGCACATCATGTACATCTTCTAGTTTTGCCTAAATAGTTGAAGCTTACATCACTTTCCCAACCAACTTAACTTCAAAAGAAAACACTTTGGAATAAATATAACAATGGAGATGGGAGACTAACCCGTTCCTTGAACCATGTGCTAGCACCCTGCAAGTTAAAAGATATCATATCAGAACTAAATTCAAAACAGGTTAAGAGGTCCCTTACAGTATCCAATCATTGATATCAGTTATCAACCTGAGGTTTAGTTATACAACAGATGGGGCCAGCAAACAGATACAAAAAAGAACAAATAATCAAGTTACAAGTTCAGTACACACAAAAAAAACCAGTGCACGTTCTCATCAAATAAGGATGCAATACATCAAAAATCTGGAACTAAAAAAGAAACAGTATGCCAGGTATGAGCACTCACAGATTTCAGATTATAGAGGGAAACCTCAATATTCAATTTTCGTAGCACTGTTTACAAAACGAAAGGAGGAAAAAGTTTTCTATGTGAATCAAATCCTTCACAGGACCCTAATACTCGAAAAAAAAAAAAAAAAAGGAAAACGGAATACCTCCTTCACCCTTGTTGTTACTTCAATGACCTGACTTGTGGATTTCATGACCTTATGTTGGTCAAATGGTGTAGTATCTGCAAGATCATATCCCCGATCAGACAACATCCATAATGATATGTTCACTGTCTCCAAGAGAAAGTTACGGGTAAGAAAGAAACCTAATAAGTCTTGAAGCTTTCTCTTCTTCAATGCATTAGTAGACGGGGTACAATATGAATGTTTTACTTCAGTTCTGGCAACAGTCTTGTCCGTCTCAGAAACATTGCCCTGTTTGCCTTGTCTGCCTAAACTAATTGGGACTTTATTCAGTTCTGGAAATGATCAAATTAACAGTTAAGCTCAGAAATGAATTTACAAGAATCAACCCATTATCTTTCTGAGTAATCACCTTTTTCTACCAGTTCCGTCACCTGACACTGTGAAATGGTAGTGCACTGGTCCGTTCTTGTGGAGGATTTAGTTTGCTTGACCAAAGTCACAGGTGGCAGCGTCGACTCTGCAAGAGCCGAATTGAAAATAAACATGGGTTGTTGACATCACAACTAAGAATTTACCACGCATGTCTACAAGTAGTTACGAGTGTTTCTTCCTGGTTGGTCATCTTTCAGCGGTGTTTTAACAGTTGCTCCTCCAAATGAATGTAGCTTGTCAAGACTTCCTTTTCCTCCATAATGAAGAGGCTGCTTCAGATCTGTCACCTTATTAAAGAAGTGCTCCACTGCAGCAGGAATGAGGTAATGCCTCAAATCATTGATTTTCAGTATTTAAATGCATCAGAGTAAGAATGTAAAAACTGAAGAAGCAGATTTTACTGCAAACTTATACTCAGAGGCTAGCTTTTCAATATAAACCTTCATGCATACAAGTAAGCTAAGCAAAAAGAAATAGACATTTTGGTTCATCCCAAAGAAATTTACATCATACGCCTCACATGTCTGGCGATGTGTGATACAATAAAAAGAGCACATGCCCACTTCGGTTAACACCAGCATCCTCCCTATACTGACAACTCACAAGTCACAGCAAACACTTACATAGAATCATTGGAAGATGCTTCTTCTTTTCTTTATTAATAAGCAAGATTCTGAGGAGAATTTTACAAAACTTATTTTTGGATTAAAAGCTAAGCAAAATGCCAACATGAAACGTGAAATTATCATAGACATGACTACATCTCTTTAGATATGTCCACCACTGCAGTTCTTTGGTTAGTACTTTATCCAATGCATTCATTTAAACAGAGCTGTCTGCCATAATAAAGACTTCTAAGAAACTTATATCAATATATCCATCACTATAGCTCCTTAAATTCAAGAACTGGGGCCATGACTTAAAAAACAGTGAATGAAAGGTAAAAACTGAAAGAAACAAGACCTTGCTCTAAATTCCAAGAACGTTGAAGAAATACTGCACCAGAAGTCATAGAGCTTTGGAGAGCCCTACGAAACCCAACTCTCTAGATATGCATCAGATAAAAGGCAGCACTAATGGGTGAACAGGTGACAAAAAATACAGGCTGAAACCAAATGGCTATGAATGGGAATGCATGAATGAATGAGAAATTGTGAACAGCCATGAAAGTCCAACATCCATCTATTACTATTCTTCCGTTTCCCACCCCTATAGAACAAGCAACATGAATGCTAGCAATATTGTCTTCACATACCCCAATTTGACTAAAACACTCAAGTGAAATAGTATATTAAGATGTTCTGCTATATATTGCACAAATTATCTAGTTCTGTCAATTATTCTTTTGTCCTATCAAAATAAAGAAGACATCAAGTGATGGAAATAATCCTGAAACAAGAACGTGCATGGGCGAGAGCACAGAAAATCCAATAAGCGCCTAAGACAGCTAAATTAGAGTCCTACCCCTTTAAACAGCAATGTAGTGAGAAATTCTTTATGGTACTTTTATAACTTTATCCTTTTACTAATTTGATTTCTTCATTTAGACAATGTCCTCGAATGTATTACATAATCCTAAGCAACTATAAAACCGAGGTTCCCAGAGAATGTATAAACTGTCTTCAAATAAGTTACACAAAAGTTTGAGAAAACAAAATTCTGAAAGATAGTATCATATGTTAAAGCAGTTCTAACGAAATAAACCAAATGTATGACACAGAAATCTGAGAAGCAGAAACCATTCAAGCATTTAACAAGCTGTTTCATCCAACCATAAAATGCATAACACTGTGGGACTGAATGAAAATCAAGCAACAGAATTAGAGTCACTACCTTCAATTTGCGCTATTGAATTTGGAAATTTCTCAGATATCTCCTGAGTACCAACATCAAAGGTGCGATAAAATAAAAACTCAGCTGTTTCCAAATCTCTGTCTTTTGGCTGAGGGTTCCTCCTATCAATTGATATGCAGACAACATTGCATTTACCGGTGATGGCTTCCTGTAATAAAATCTCAAAGAGGTCAGACCATTACATCTAAAAACAGATAGATTAAAATTATACCTTAAAAAGGATTAGTGATAGAATTACCACTGGATTGCAATTTGAAAGCCCTACGCCTTCTCCTGAAGCCAACAGTAACTCATTGCCAAGCACCTTGATATTACCCAACCAATGAGTTAGCTCGGTGGGACGGAAAAACCATACCACCTTGACTATCCTTTTCCGTGTTTTCGTTTCCCACACCTTAACGATCTTACCAATGTCTGGCTCCTCTTCACCATGACGATACATGTAAACACAATCATATAAGTTGAATTCAACTCCAGCATAAGTGAATGACTTGTAAAATTGGACGTCCTTGTTAAGGGCACCCTTTCCCTTCTTGGCACCCCAACTAAATTCGGGACTATCTTCTTCCGCTCCTTCTTGAAGGGGGAACATTTGATACTTATCACAATGTGATGTTAATCTTTCAAAGATCTGGAATGGAAAGACATATGCCTGTCATTGACAACTAACAACCATCTAAAAAAGTAGATGTGCACATTACAACAATTACTAAAAGCATAATAATTATGCAAAAGCCCCAAAATTCATAGAGAATTTGAAGAAAGCAGAAACCCACTCATTGAGACCTCGCTTTAGAAGAAGGAAAACAAAGAAAGCAAACAAAGATAGACTCCAAAAAAACAAGTCATTCAAAAAAAAAAATGTTCTATGTTCCCTCTTAAGTATCATTTTCAGTTTGAAGTGGAGATTCAATAATTGAACATATAACAAGACTCAAAGAGTATCGTAGCACATTATATAGAACTTGGTTTTTCTTAGAAACGAAGATGGAGCATCGCGATGAATGGAGTATCTCATTCCAGAAAACATACCATAAGAGGATTACTAGATCTACATGGAAATAGAGAAATGCAAGATGTTTCGAAGAGAAACTAGAAACTGTACAGTAAATTAAATACTCATGCTTATGGATTTTTGATGCAACCTACAAGATGTTAAAGATGATTAGAATAGCATGATTGAATTCATAAACTCACCGCAGGACTAGAATTGTGTATAGATGGAACCATTTCCTTCTGTTTTTCTTGCAGAAATGTTCCGATCATTGTAATTCTCTGGTACCAACTTAGTACAAGATTTGTTTTATTAATGTACACAATACTTTACCAGTCTCCAAAAAGGAGTTCCATGATTGTAGAATGATGACAAGTATCTGCTGTTTTCCAAAATAAATATTTAAACAAAAAAGACATGTATGAATTATGCAATATATGCAAGCTCCTACACTGTAATTTACATGGGATTACAGTGTTGAAATCAGTGTTGTCAAAGGCGCGTTTAAAGCACACGTAAGCCCTAAATCGAGGCTCAAAACATGTTTGCCGCTTCGCCTCGCTTATTGCGTGTTTGAATGTCGTCATCAAGGCTCTAAGCATCTCCCGAAGTGACGACACTAATCAATTGATATCTTATTTTATCATTAAAAAAAATCAAATTCATTGTCCATACATTTGTTATTCATGCTTATATGTATTAGTCTTTGACTAAACATATATAGTTGTATTTATTCTTCATTTGCGTTTTTTCATTAAAACCCAGCTCACACTTCATTTGTGCTTTGCGCTTAGAGCGATCATAGAAATTTTTTGCACTTTTGATAACACTGGCTTAAATGTGGACAATTTAGATATCTAGACATTATATTCCAAAAGAACAGTATGATAGATGCAACAGATAGAATTAAAATAGGATGGTTGAAATGGAGGAGAGCTATGAGAATGCAATGCAAAGGAGAATACCCACCAAAATAAAAGACAAATTCAATAGTCCATCAATGCCATAAGAAAGTAAATTTTATGCCTCTAAAGTCCAACATATCCACGAGATGAGCAAAATATAAATCACACAAATTTTTAATCACTTACCAAAAAAAATACTTCACAAGTTCACCCAAATACACAAAAGATCAATAAAATCACAGTATAAACTATAAAAACCAAGAACATATACAAAATTCAACCAGAAAAGAAAGCAAAAAAATAATGTACTTGCAATCCAACAAAAGGAAAAAGAGATAGACAAATGCAATCAAAGTAAGATTACCAAAACAGAAAACCCAAAAAGCCCCCGTACACCACTCGTCTATTTCGAAACATTAAAACCCACAGAGTACATAGTTTTTTCCGTTTATTTGAAGTTGTAGAACGATTAACGATACATCCATACACAGTAATGATCAAAAACCAATGATCCAAACCCTATGAACCAACATATTCCATACATACCTGAAGAAAAAACAAGTTACCAGAAGGGAAAGGGAAACAGAGCAAGTACTGTAAACTGTATAGTGTGCACTGAAAAGTATGCAGACAAATAAAAACTGTATGAGTGAAAAAAATTATCAATAAACTCCATAAAAATCCTAAAACACTATAGAACATTTGTTTTTAGGTCCAGCCCTTCCCTGAACCTTCGTAGCGAGAGCTTAGTATACCATACTAGTTTATAACATTTTCTCGAAAACATACTAGAAGCTTCTAGAATACAATCGCCCACAAAAACAACGTGAACAACGGAATGTAAACACAAAATAGGAGTGTTGATTCAAACCTGAGCTGGATTTGTTTGTATGAATGGAGATACAAATACAACAAAAACAAAAAGCAGAGACGGTTACTGGAGTAGCGTATCGTCTTCTCTGTACAGTACTTTTTTTTGCAGAAAAAATGTGACAACTCTGCTAATACGGTGAGCTGCAAGCTTTTTTACTATAAATAATACTCTACTATAGTAGTAGTATTAACACTAATTTCTTCTCAATGTCTTGGAATTCGCATTAATTTCAATCTTCATTAAGAAAAAAAATCATAGAGAGGATTAAAGCGGTAATTACGTAGAGGAGTTGTGATTTAACATTTGGCACCACTCTCTCTATTTTCAATCCCATTAATAGATCATGCACACAACACCATGTGCTCCCTTAATTAAGTAGTGTACTCTTTCTAGTCAATTTTATTCTCATTATTAAAATGTGATATCTTTTATTTAAAAATTAATAAATAACATATTATATTAATAAGATATTTTTAAAAAAGTATATAATACTAAAAATAATAACGATTGTGGATATCGATTTGAGATGGAATTAACTAATGTCAATTATAGATAGTATTTAGTGATAAACTAACAATGGTGGTTGATGATTATAGTTAATAATTATAATAGTGAATGATGATTTATAATGGTGATTGTTGTGTGGGCGGAAAGGAGAAGGGGGGCAAATGGGTTGTTCGGATCGAAGTTGAACAGATTAAGATGGGTTGTATCAATAGATGGGTCAATGTTCGGCCCCGTCAAAGCTTGTTTGGGCTAAGATGAGGTGGATATGACTTAAAATAATGAAAAAACTACATAAATACACAACTAAAGATATTATAATCTCTAAAATTCCCTTTAAAAAATTACAAGAAATCCCTTCTTGGATACATCTCTATCCCTTCTCAGATACATCCCTCTCCCATTAAGTAATGTATCATTTGCAATGTATAGGACAAGTAATGTATCATTTACAATGTATCGGACAACCAAGAAATGTATCCGAGAGTAATAAATTGGGATTTTTTTGTAATTGGAAAAACTTTGGGGATATGATGTAATTAATCCCCAAATGTATGGAATTTTTGTACTTTATACTAAAATAATTGTGTTTTATCACATAAGCTAAGGTTTAGGATAGGTTAATTTTCAAGAACACTAGATAAAATTAAATTCATCTGATAGAGTCCCACAAAATTTTAATGCTTATAACATGTCAAAAAATAATATTTTCTTATATGATGTACCATTTTATTTTATTGTTAGAGTATAATCTTCTTTTTGAAACAAGACGAGGTACTATTTGACAACAAATTCGACATGCAATTGCATTAGCATAAGCTATATATCATGATTATGTTTTTCTCTTAACTTAGCTAATTTTTATATTGAGATACATATAATGCTAATTCTCTTACTAGAACTCACTGTAAAATAATTATGTGAAAAGGATAAAACATATAGACAATCTTATGAAATCAATTAATAGTACTACTCCCCCGTTTCTGTTTATATGTCGTCCTTACTAAAAATAGATAGTTCTTAGTAATATTTGTCATTTCACAAGATCAATGTATAAATAACACTATTCTTCATATTTTATCCTTGAGAGTTATTAAACTTGAAAGTATGAATTTGACGGACATAGGAAACTAAATAATTAATTCATGTTCATCTGTCAACTTAATTAATCAAAATAAATTAATTTATGTTTATTTATTGAAATCTTGACTTCAAAAGAATACTAATTTAAGATATAATGGTAAATTTATATACTCTTCTTAAGGGACGTAAATTTTAAGATTGTGATATATAAATAAGAACGAAGGGAGTGACTTTTCTGAATCTTATAGTTCTCAAAAGTCATATAATTTACACCGTGCCATAGGCATATAATTTATCATTATCCTATTTTATGATTCTTAGATATTTAATAGAAACCTTTTTAATTCTAATTCACTAACAAGAACTCGCTAAAAAAAACAATTATACAGAAAGGATAAAATATATAAATGTATTTATACTTGCACTTTTTTAACTAAATAATTGATCGTATGTTATAAGTTATAACTTATAACCTATCCCAATCAACATATAATTTATTTATTTAATAAATTAATCAGAAGAAAAGGCTTTGATTCAATTAGTTTTCTTATTGCTCTATTGGGTTAATCATAAATTCAGTTTGACCTAAATTTTTAGACAGATTAATTGACTCTTGCTTAAATTGATCTTATAATAATGATCTATTCAGTTTAATTTTGTAATAAAAAATCTATTTTAATTTCTCACACTCAAAAAAATATAACAAATAATAACTAAAAAGGGACACTGTTGGTTTTATCTAATTTGATATACACATGTAATATACGTATCAAAAATATAATATTTTTTTTGTATGATCTTATCACTTCGTTATATTAATTGATAAATTTGTTTCAAATAATAAAGTACTGAAATAACATGAGGTAATATTTGACCACAAATTCAGTATGCAATTGCATTAGCATAAGTTATATACCATGATTACATTTTCTCTTAACTGATGTTAATTTTCTTACTAGAAGTCTAGAACTAACTGTAAAATAATTGTGTGAGAAGAATAAAATATATAGATGTATTAATTCAGGGGCAAACCTGGAGGTTGTCGAAGCGGTTCACCTGAACCTTCTCAACAAAAATTACATTGTGTATATAAGGTATTTTAGAGAATTTTTATGTTTATATATTAATTTTGAACCCCCAAAATATAAAATTAGAGGTCGACATAGTTCAGAATCTATTATGGTGTACAAAGACCCATTCTGGCCAATTTTCAGTCAAAAGTGCTTGGAATACTATAAGAAAGAGAGAGGGGGCAACTA